TCGCCGTTTGATCGACCAATAAAAAGTGGACACTAAGCACAACTGTAAGGGAAAGTCGTTATTACTCAATCCTATCAGTGATTGGACCGATCGATAGTTGTTTAGGTGGGAAACGTCGTACCCGATCAATGACCAGCTTAATTGATCAGGATCTTTATGCCGATAAGTTGGGACTTGACCTCCTTCCAATCATCGTCTACTTCGAGAAAAACACTGGATGAAGCAGACAAACAGGATATGCTCAAAATAAATCTCATGTGTGGAGTAAATACACAAATGTAATATAACATGATTATATTATATATGGATGATTGTTCTCTTGTCGCAGTGAATCCTACCAGAGAATTAGGAGAGAAATAGTTAGATCTCAACTCATCTAATGAGTTCTCCATGCACACCAGACAACTCTCATCAACTGTCAAAGTTCAGTATCAGCTTTTACAATCATTAATCATGCACTTTCATTTGCGGGTTTTGGTTGCTATCTTTTGGGCGCCTATTTGGATAAATTAGTAGGCTGAAATTCGGAATGTTGAGATCAGATTCAAGGGAAAGATAGAGGAGAATTCATATAGACTGATATTGCAAGGATAATGGGCAGATGCATGAGTATCACTGTTTGCGACAATCAGCCATACCGCTGTGTCTCTGACTACCGATTACATTGATTTCAGAGTCTCCATCCAGGGAGCCTAACGGGACCTATGTGACCCAGTGTTCTGGTTAGGGTTTCATACCCTCATGCCAGGTCTTAGTTTGACCATCCTTGACAATTTTTTATCCGCTATTTGCCTCGGCAAACCTAGCTCGCCGTAGCAACCTATTTGGTGACATGCGTAACTTATGTCCCAACCAGCTTAATCTATGGAGGTCGACCACTTGCTCCAGTGGACGACCCAAAATTATGCTCCTAACCGCAATTGTCAAAACTTTATGATGTGTGCGGTTATTTGTCATATGTGACTTCCTCATGATTATTATTGTTACCATTATTATATTATATTTCACACATGTCAATGTCCAAGAGTTAACGGAAACAAGTAGCAGTAGAACAAACTTTATGACAGAAATGGAGCAGTATTAAAAACCCTCCGAGTCATCATACGTTTACTCATCTCTGGTAGCGTTAAATTACTAAATATAGTGCAATTCAAATAAAGGCACAACTTCCCCTGCCTGTTCACTCATGGAAACCGGCAATCTAGGCTGCGGGGATTGAAACAGTGAATCGCATAAGACCCCACTAGGTTAGAGATGATATTCAGCCGAGCGGCATCGAAGTCTCCTACCACCAAAATTGGCTGGCTTCGATATCTAGGGTCAAAAGCACGCTGATGCTCGTGTTTTAAACCCTGTGACCGCTAAAACTACCATTGACACCATTTAGGTATTCAGTAGCATACAGTAAATCAATATTCTGTGATTTAATGATCAAACATCAGACAGTGCAAACGTCTCACCAAATACTGAGTAATCACCGCATCCTTAGCGTGAATCGGTTTCAGCTACAGATGAAATCATAGTGTTTAAGTGTGACATAGTATCATCCTCGAAGTCGTGTATTCAAATTCCATTATTATCTTCCAATAGTTCCACCAATGCACGTTCCCCTCACCCCACGAGATAGCATTTTCCCTAACCGCAGTCCCCTCTATAGATCATTTTGTTGTGATACGGCTGATCGAAAAATTAGAAAAAATTATAGGCTACTTTAAGCAAGCAATAGTGTGTCTTCGTGTGGCATTTTGAGCACCCGTAGGAGTAAAATAAAGCTCCTTTGTTCACAACAATTTTAACATTCAAAATAATGTGTAACCCTTAAATGACCCGTAGATGACATGACACTGGATTCGGATCAATGGACACACATCGAGGCCTTATGTGGTTCGCCACTCCAAGTCTCGGGGCTTAGGTTGCCGGTTTCCATCACACAACAGCAGGTCCTCGTGACTATGGGTCTCGCCCCGTCTGGTGTTCACCACACTTAGGTGTGTCATAAAAAAAATATAAAAAACACAAATATTTGAGTTCAGTTGAGTTCATTATCCCTGTGTGTGTCTGTGTGTGCGTGTACGCCTCTCTGTATGCGTGTGAACAAATAGAACAGAACTGATTGTGCAAGAGCACAACAGACCTTCAACGTCACAATGAAACTTTGTCAGAATCGTAAATAATCATATAAAGATACTGCGATTTCCGTGCACCTAGTATAGACTGGACAGAGAGAAAGGGAGACACATCCATAGATTTCATGCTAAGCTAATGCAGAATTTACATATTTCTTCTCATCAATCAAAAACCATCTATTGCAGCTGAATGATCTATCCATATCCTGTACACATGGTGCAATGTCGGAGCAAATCATGCCAGCTAGAATGGGTCAAACACATGATCTTGAGGAGTTGTGACGTGGATGAGAGAATCCGAAACATATGCACACGTTATGTGTGTGTTGTACTGTTGAATCCCCTGGGCAAAAAATGGCAAACTTCATGCGGTCCGTACTCAACGTCTGAAGTTATCCTAATTGTGCGATGTTATGAATTTTGTTCTAATAAAGGCCATTATTACGGCTCAGGAGATCAAACGATCCAACTGGTGCTATTTCACAGGAAGAAAAGTACATGGATTATGCAATAGTGATTATTGGCTTCACAAATGGTTAATAAACGGACCGACTTAGAGTAAAAAACCTACTCTCAGACAACCGAGACTACGTTCTCTGACAAACTATGCACTTCAGACCCATCAAACTGAGAAATTTATGTTCTCATGGGCAAACGCTGCACCGTTAGATGATCAGCACTGTCATGCAACAGACTAGATGAAATTGCTCACCCATTATACAATCACTCGGTTATAAGAAACGTACTAAAAAACATCGCCATGTAATGTTGCCGTAAATCAAGTTGTCAATGGTCATCAATCTGTATTGTCCAATTTGTAAACTAACTAACAAAATACAGTAATTAACACAAAAACACTGGTGTGGGCAGATTTGAAATGGACCATCAATTTCGTGTGTTCGCTTTCAGCTGTGACCAAGCATTTATACATACATGTCAAACAAACAAGAATTTCGTGGACAAATGGGCTACGTGATATGGGTTTGGTTACGCGGTTAGGGTAATGGTAATTCATGGCATCACACAGTTACTTACTATAGTATAGACATCAACTTTGTAGTACTGATATTGGAGAAATCGAGTATCAATACCTCACACTATTGAATCCAAATCCACTCATGGTTTCCCTACGTAGAAATAAGCACAACTTAATTCCCTCTCCCCTACCAAATGATACCACCCAGCATGTAAAGGAAACTTCGGTAGGCTTAATGGCACACAGCTTCATGTTCATGAAATCCAACAGATGCTAACTCACAAACAATTGTTTTTTTTGGGGGGGAGGAGGGAACTAATACGTGACTAACTGGTAGTTTTGCTAGGATGTATCTCTTCCTAGAAAAATATATTCTAATGGATAAGAAGCCCTCGTCCTGTGTTGGTAATAATAGTCGAACCAGGAACCATCCGACTCAGGATAATCCGAGAATGCAATGAAATTGACCGAGGACCGGATTAACCTATGAAGCTCGATTCAACTCAGCTTACTTCAAGTTGTTCTATCCTTCCGTGGTCAAATAAACATTACAGCACTCTGGACAATTTTACTGCCTGGTTGTTGGAGGTGCCACCGAATGACGAAATCAATTTCAGTATCTCTGAGTATCGTGCTTATTGTACAGTTCCCCGAGTGGGGTTGATAACCAGGCATTTAGTAGAAGAAAAAACAGACTCACAGAGAGCTTTCTGTTCCCTGAGATCGAGCAATGTGCTTTATCCCTGAACCGGTGAAAACTTCGGTGACCGTTGGTGTAAATTTGTGTAAGCGTAAGCCCATTATTCAGACCCGATTGTTTGAATTTTGATAGTTATATGTACCGATATGAGAAAATATCATGGAAGATGACGTATTTAGATTTACTTATTTCCAAGGTCTTGAACTAACTTTCATTATGTTGGACTTGGATACATTCAATCTACTGTGTTTTGTCTGTAATAACTCTACTTAGTGATAGCCGAATCGAAGTAAGTTTCCAGTTCCAAACTAACCCAAGGAACCTCTGAGCTACCTGGACAGGTTCCCGCGATTGGCTTTAGGTTACGATCACACTATATGGCACATTGTCGAAATTTCGAGAGCCTCCTAGTTGATCCAATCTACATTCGTATCTGGTTTGCAGCGAAATCCAACTTAAGTTGGTCACCCATTGTGCAACACAAATTTGGTCAAATTACGGGAGGAGTACAAAGAATGCAGAATCGCCTTCTTCTATTTACACCACCACCAAGTGTGTGTGTGGGGGGGGTGCGGGCGGTTAAGAAAATAACAAACAAACAATACAGTGAAGAACACATTGAATGAATCATTCCAGTTAGGGTTGAAAAATTTGTTTACATGTTTACTGTGTGAAGTTCAAAATTACCGAATATGAAATTTATGGTCATCTTGAGGGTTGGTCAGTCTCTGATCAGTAGTCTGTCAGAGCTAAAACATGCGCATGTGTTTTAAAAATCTCAAGTCTTATTATTATTTATGTGTGTACATGAGATAAAAAATAAATAGAAAGTATTGTATGAAAATATATCATGTCAGTTACCTCCATGGCACCTCATCGCATCACAGATGGGCTGTCCGGGTGTTTGGTCAAAATAAAGACGAATACAGAGAGAAATTCAGACGACACTGAAAAAATGGTAAGCTTTCGGGTGGTATCGTCCTGAGAAACAGTGATATTGCAATGTTTTGTAGGGATCAGCTGTTCGATAAGCACATTTGATTTACCAAAATACGAAGAGGCTAAATCACGCGGGTACGGTTTGTGTTTTTTTTGCTGATGGTGGAGCTCGCAAAGTTGTCATGCAGAAAATGATTCCTTCGCTCCTTCGGATTCTCAAATCACACTTGATTGATGACTATACAACACATACAACATGTTAGAATGTTGAAAGCCCATCTCGGAGATCGGCACCACGATTATCATAAACTTCACCTTTGGTCGATTGGTTTCTATCCAATGTGCTACCAACGGTCCCATTGGGATCGTGCATTTGTAAAATTTTCTCAATTTCTCGTCGTCGTTTTTTCTTCTTGTGCACGCGTTTGTACGCGAACAAGGCGATAAAGATGATGGTGGTGGCACAACCGATGGAAAAGAGCACAATCCCGGCGATCATTTTACTCCGCTGGTTCGCATCTTCACCCGATCCCCAAAGGCATCCACCAATCAGTAAACTGAGCACAGAAATAATGAAAAGAAAGAACAGGAGCGGTTCGCCTTCAAACAAGAGCATATTTTGCCGGTTTCAAAAACAAATTTCACCGGCTTCGTTTGCAATTTTTACCGGTTTAGTTCCAATGGTGAGGTGCAGAACGCACGTGGCAAATCACTCCAAAACGGCCGGTCAGCACAGGATTGATGGGGTCAAATGAGTGCTTTCAAACGACGACAGCCAGCACGACCTTCACACAATGATTCGATTGGTGCTTGTGCACGGCGTGTGCTCACGTGATGCAATTTGATTTGTCTATTTTCACCTGCTCAAAGCACGCGTAATCCGTGCGTACACACTGGCTGTCGGGCCTATATGTGAATAACAAGTACAAGCGTGACATAAATACATTGACTGCACTGTTGCGTTTGTTTAATCGAGTATCGACTCAGCGCGTCTGTCTAGAACACGCTCTCCAATCAGCTCAGTATGTTTTTCAGGTATGGTCTAATGAGTTCGACGGTGAGTTTTATAAAAATGCTATTGGTATAAGCTATAGCATTTATTGTGTAAGTTATTAGGTATTATTTAATTACAAATGGTGTTCAAGAGTATACTTATACACCCAGTGACATAATATTACAACTACCTAGAATTCAGATTTATTACCTCTCCAATAGGCCTGGACATCACCACTTGGATATTCGAAACAGAAACCCGATAAAAACGAATTTATTTTAACGAAACCATGATGAAATCTTACAATTTTCACCGCGACAACATTTTCTCTCCTCTGAGGTCCTTCAGTCTTCAATTGTTTGTCACCCGTATATTTTTTTCTATATCCACATGGCATTACGCAACTGTTCTTGGTCAGTGGTAGACATACTGGTGTTTGTCGATTTCAGATTACCTTCTGATAGTGACCACATTCACCGGACACTGGCAGTGATGTTTCACAGGAACAAAGACGTATGGTATGAGTTGTTGTCCATTGTGGTGCAGCAAACGAGGCTTATAGATACAGGGAAGTCCAGAATCGATACTATTCACAAACTTTCTTTCAACACCGTAAAAGGCTTTTCTGTAGTGAACATTGATTCCCTACAACGAACACACTTTCAAAATGGAATTTAGTCTACTTTAGAAAGGAAAATAAATTCCCTCTTAGATGGGTCCGAAGATTAACGTTTCAGTACAAACACGGCTTGCGAAATGTTTTTCGGTACATGGATGAGAAAATAAACTATGTGGAAATTTATGACAACATAGTGTGCCTCCCCAACCATCGGCCTAATTGAACTCACTTTACTGACCGGATTACAAGAATCGGATGCATGTGAGCGTACATTGAAGAGCCACATTGAATGCGTCCGTTGGAGTAGCCAAGGGAGTTATACATAGGTTTGGCTTAGAGATGGGCGCACTCGCAGTCGTACAGCACAGAGAATGTTCAACTAAGACGGCTACATTGGCTGAGGCTTGTGTTTAGCCTCGGCATACAACGTTTACCAAGACAGATCCTGTTTGGAAGAAGGTTATAAATGGAGTCAATCTAAAACCGGGCATGAGGGTTGTTCTGTAGCCCAGTTTAAATAGGTAAATAATCATATGGTAAATTAAGCAACATTTATTGTAAACAGCAAATATCTAGCCGGTTCATAGACCGGGGAGCAAGCAGAAACGGACAACTCGTAGGAAGGTAGTCAAGCAGGCAGGCAAGCTGACACAGGCTCCACGTCGCGCAACATTCGAATACCTTCAAGCCGGCATTCAAACAGTCAGCCAATCAATCAATCAACTAAACAATCACTCTGGCCACAGGTATGCATGACAAACGTAGCAGTTAGTTGTAGACCACAACAGGGTGGAACACCCTAACCATGAAACTTGGTCACGTAAGTCGAGTTATGCTCTCCGATTGGACACTTTGGGATCAGTATAATCATTTGTTAGAGAAACTGAGCAGCATGGATGAGTGTTATGAACGATGTTATTTTTGAATCTACTCATTTTTGCGAACTCTGTCTATTGAGATTTTAATAGGCAGCCAAACGAAAGCAACCGAAATTACGGTAGTAAAGTGTAATGGTAATGAACGAATGAAACGAAACTGTATCAAATTAATAACATATCACACAGATTTGAAAACCTATTAGCAGCCTATGAGGACAGGACGAAAGTACAAATTGCTTCTCTCGAAGAGAAAATAAAGACCCTCAATTCCCAGATTACTCCCTAAAGCCCGACCCAGTGACTTCTAAACTTCCAAGATGTGATTTCCATAAAACAAATCAAGAGGTAACGCGCACCACTTCCTCTCCAATAGCCACGAGGAAACCAACAGTCGAAGTTTTGGTATATGTAGTCAGGGTACCATTACCTAAACGTCAGTCGCAAGCTGCTATACAACAAGAGAGTTAGTGACAACACTGCACTCACGGTAATTTGTACAAATGTCCCAGAACCATTAGGTTAATCATAAAGAGACAGTCAACAGGACAAGTTTAGTCACTCGACAGAGTTATGTGCCTCAATGTGTGTAGAATCCAAACCGGTGAGCCTCACTCGTCTCTGGCGCCAACCGACATCACCTCACATCAGAGAACCCAGGCTACTTCGTGTGACGCTGATCAGTGAAGACATTGAAAATGTTCTTTTTCCAGTTGTCTTATTGCAATACCAGAATTTTACTGGACAGACCGTGGACCCGGCGTGAACACCGACGGAACGAACCTAACATTGCACGTAATGCAGACAACTCGTGGGCGATTCTCATGCACGGAGTGCCATAGTTCCCCGAATCCAATGAATCTAACTGTCGAAAAAATGATTTTGAATTTTGGGGCTTCATTCAAGAATTGTTAGACTGCCGCAACATCTCTACCATGGCCAGTAAACGCCGTCCACCTCCTCCCAACTAGCGCGGAGATGGCGCGCAAATACTGAAAGTAATTCTTGGGACACCAAAAATGGTAAGCACAGTTCTCCAGTCGTGATATGAACACAGAAGCAGAGGGCCCAAAGAATTACGCGTAAGATTAATGCTGAATTCAGGATCGAAAAATTGTCCAACTGTCGAAACTCTCAATAGCATTGATCGTGAAACACTACAAACTTCATGCTCCACCCCATCAGACTGAAGCCAACAAACACCTACAGCAAAAAACGTTTGCCTTCCGACAACGAGGAGGTCGACTAGATGACGCCCTTAAACTCCAAGGAATTTCTTTACCGTCAGCGATTGAACCGTTTCTACACCGACGCTCAGGGCTTTCTCAGTAAGGTTCCAGAAGTGGAATTACGTTGTCGGACCGGTCATTGGGACCTCATTGCCGTAGCCGAAACCGGGTCGACGACCGACATTTAAGACTCGGAGCTGCGATTACCAGACATGAAGCTATTAAGGCTTGAGCGTCCAACCCGAGGTGGGGGGATGTCTTATTACCATAACAGCTTGCAATGCGAGCAAATTGAGTGCCCGTTCGCTGCTTCAGATACATTTTGGTATAAATTGGAGCTAACGCAACAAGATATCGAGTTTATCGGTGTAGTTTATGGCCCTCCTTCGTCAGCATATTCAGAAAATGAGACTTTGTTGCAAACAATGTCTTACTTCTTGTCATTGAATTTCACTCACGTTCTTATTATGGGTGATTTAAACTTCCCACAGCTAAGTAACATGACGACCTCATGCATTCCGTTTGAATGAAAATTCATGCAGTTCATCCAGTCACATCCGTTTTGCGATCATCTGAAGAGACCTACCAGGTTTGGAACCAACCAAATATCGTCAACTTTGGATTTAGTACTGACAAATAAAGAATCGACGGCAGAATCAGTTGCAATCTCAACTTCATTGGGGCGAAGTGATCACGCTGTGTTTTTGTTCTAATACGTTTGCCATTCATCAGTAATACCAACCTTTTCGGATCCGTTTCGCATCATAACCGACTATACAAGGCTAAACACCCTGGCCCATGAATCCAGTGGATCTCCCCTGACATAGAATGTAATCCCCTGGAATTCTGAAGAAAATCTACCAACATTATTGCAACATTGGTGGCCACTGTTACGGTAGACAAACGTCTATCCCAGCCGACTGTTCGGAAATCAGCAATTCGCAGTCCAACCAGGAAATCGATAATGCAAAGAGACTTTTACTGGAGGGAGTTCAAACGTTATCCATGCCTCAGCACTTCGGAAGCTTAGAGTCTCCTTCGAAACCACTGTAGCAATAGGGGTGGTATCTTTCAAGCGTCAGCTTGATAATGCTCTGCCAAACATTATGTTTCAACACCCACCTATCGTTATACGCTGGTGAGGAAATGCATGGCAGGCCCTAAGCTATTATATTAGCATGTAAACGTTTCCCGGAAAGTCAAATATGGGGTTCCGATACTGAGCTTAGCAGGACGTGTTGCAAACACAACAAAGTAAGCTGCAGAAATGCTTAGACTACGGTACGCTAAAGTGATCAACGCACCTAGTAATACTGGGTTAGTACTTCCCCGTTTTCTAGAGCATATTCCTTATACATTACTGACAGATATTATCCTTTCTCCCAAAAGAATAAGGCAAAGCTCCTGGCTTTAAAGAAGAACTCATATCCGGATCTAGATAACATACAACCAAAAGCCCTTGTCACTCTGGCAAGTCACATAGCAGATCCCTTAGGTAGACTATACCAAAAATTGTTTGAAAATATTGTGCTTCTTCAGTTGTAGAAAACGATGCTGTTTCACTATTTTACAAACATGGATTCTGTAGTGCCCCAGACAACTACCGAGCCGTCTATCTCCTTCCAGTGTTGTCAAAAGTCATGGAATCTATGGTTGCGAATTCTGTGATGGATCATCTGGAAAAAAATGGCTTACTATCCGCAGCTCACCACGGGTTTCGGAAAAACCGGTCATGAACAACTAACTGGATTTTGGCTCGGGACGACTGAATCCATGGTGTAGACCAAGACAAAGCGGTAAATGTTATTTATCTGGATTTCTCTAAGGCATTTGATAGGGTAATTCATCAAATTCTGACACGGAAGCTATATAAATATGGAATCTGTGGACTCTTACTTG